ACAAGTTCGGCGCTATAAAATCCTAATGTTTTAATTAAAGTGTCATCAGCTTCCAGACCAATCATAACACAATTTTTTTAGTTGGAACTGGCTATTCTTTATTGAAATGTAGATAAGAATGGTATGGCTTTTCGTTTGTCTCCCTTCACTACATAAAATTGGTTTGACCTAGTTCTCGCAGCTTACTCGTGGAAAAATATAACGATGACAGAGTACGATTATGGATTGCTTTCTTTGAGCTATCCCCGAAAGCACGACTTGCTTGCGATAACGAGATAAAATTAATTATCTATTCTGCATAGATGTGGTCTGACCTTGTTTTCGCAACTTGGTTGTGCTGTCAGGGCGACTTAGTTGATTGAACCTCATCCAAAGTCCTCTGCTATAGTAGTTATCATAATTCTTAGTGTCGGACTGTGGACTTGATCACAGCATCTTGGTCTTTGTATCTACGCTTAAATTATTCTGCAGTTAAAACAAATAGACTGATTGTCAATTTTTTCATATTTTTTTCCTCATCCTCTTTCTATAATTGTTTGTCCCGTTGAATATGTAAATTCTGGTCACATCATATTTCAGCATAAAGTATAATGCTAGTACTCGCCACTGCTCATTAATTGTAGATCTTTTCTCACAAATCTGATAGACAGGTAGGCCATTAAGTAGTTCCAGAACACATCCTTCCATTTTTATTTTCATTTTCCTGACACTCTTTACTTATTCTCATTTGGCCAGTCAGCAACCAAGTTGTCTTCGGCTCGGGTCGCCATTTCTCACTCTCCTGAGTTGAGTTTGCACTACGGCCGCTCAGATGGTTTCCCATGGCATATAGAGGTTAAAAACCTTCTCACTAGGATATTTCGCCTGCCCTCCTTCCGACCTCTTCAAATTATCGCCATCAATGCTACCTTGGACAAGCGTGATGTTATCCTTGTTATGCCAACAGGTGACGCAGCCTCAGTTTCTCTTATTTTTCCTCAATACCTATTTCGCAAGAATTATACTCTGACCCAATTTCTTTCGAATAAATATATTCAAAATAATAAAATTTACATACAGAGGTCACGTATGGCGACAAAAATGAATTAATATTCTTAAAATATCTACCTATTATTATTACCGGTAAATCCATATTTTAGATAGGACTTTCTCTGCTTATATTTTATGTTTTTGGCATAAACTAAAGTTACACAAGTCTAGAGTGAGTACTTTGGATCCACATCTGGACGTGGCAAGATCTGACAGTGGACTTGATACATTCTCAAACGTTTCGCCGGCATCGTAGTCGGCATCATCAGTGGGCCTTGCCATTCTCCGCACCAAGATACGAACTCGCCAAAGAGACAAGTGAAGTCAATCCTTCAACAACCGTTCTGCCGAAAACGGTTACCTTATCACTCCTCTTTCTGTAATTGTCTATCTAGTCTTACCCTCTTATCCCACTGCCGTCCTATCACAACTTCTCACTTGTTTACATTCTAATCGTCAAAATGTGTGCCCTTTTGTGGCAAACCGAGTATGGCTTCATCATTTAGGGGTGGACATAGAAACAGACAAGTGGGGATTTCCCTGTTTATCTTTTTTTAAGCATACTTGTGTTGTTAAGGTAGGGTTTTATGAAGCCATTGGCAGTAATAAATTTGCTTCTAGCAGATATAAATAGCAAATATCAAGATAAATGAGGATTAAGAAAACATTCATCCATTAGAATTAATTGAAACTTACTTCATACTATTGGGCAGTAAATTGGGACTAAATGACTAATTTGAGCAAAACGAAGAATTTGAAAACTCTTCATTTAGGTTTCTGGCGATATCATCTTTTCAGCTTTTGAAAAAGACTGACCTTCATTACTTTATGCGACCTAGGGGGAATACATTTCACATTCAGTATCTACTTGTAGCATCAAAATCTTGTCAACCTTACTGTAAGCAATGTTATTGGCTGTAATTTAAAGTAGAAGCTTGCCTCATTTAACATCCTATTATAAAATCTAATATGGGAAAAGCTTGATTTAAAACTTATGTCTGCCTTGTGACGTATTATCACCTATGACATTATGAGGTATCCGTAACTTGTCGAAAATAATCACTACACTACTAGAGTTCGATTCCTTTTGGGATGAGACTAAGACGAATGGTAAACTGCACCCTGACCTGGATTATAATACCTATTTGAAGGTAAGGATACGTGAACTTAAATGTAACTTAATATCATTGTAGGAAAATTCAGCTTTCAGTCCTTCATCACATTATTCTACTTAAGGGAAATACAATTATGGTATACTGGTGGTATCGAAACCTACTTGGTCTATGTATTAATAAGAACTTCCTCTGGTTTTTAGATATAATTAGGGAGAAGCAGAGAGATCAGGAAGAGCTACAATGAAAGAAGAGGCTAAAATAGCATTGAGTCTGGCTTGGCCTCCACACATCGAATGACTCGAGCAGTGCATACACACAATTCATATGCATTCATAAACCTAACTTCTGTCAATATTGTAGGGCCGTATGCTAGTTTGTTTAGGTAAGAGAACAGCTGTGACCACATCCACTCTATTTTCATAGATCAATCTCAGTCGTTTGCTAGCATGTAGGTTAAGTATGAATTAGGCAATCAAATCATAGGATGCCACATCAGGACCGCAAGATTCGGAGTAAGTAATTAAAATTTTAGCAAGCAACTTTTTTGGTTTAGCGTCTTAGTGACTTTTTCTTAAATGATGGTCTCTGTCTCTGACGGTTTCTGCCATATGAGGGGCGAAAGCTCAGCACGGATTTATCGGGATCGCAGAATTGTGAACCTAGGTCCTCTACATAATCCAGCATTCTCAACTTTCATGAAATCTCTCTGGTTTCTGCATCCCTTCCGCCAGCCATTTTGAATGAACTAAAATGTACACTAACATTATTTTTCAAGAATTTTTAATAATATCAAGACATGCATACATTTACTATTACTATTATTTTACAACCCATCGTTTGCACCTTAACTGAGCTTCCTTTTAGATTATTTTGCACCGATTTCTTATCTTCAATTGTTTAGGCGCTGGTAAAAGTCTTGTCTATCAGCTTCCAGCGATGGTCACTCTGGAGGCAAATGGAAAAATGGTTGGCTCCAGATTCTCCCTGGTTATCACCCCCCTTGTTTCCCTTATGTACGACCAGTTGATTAGCCTCAAACGCTTGGACTTGCCAGCAGACACTGTGGCTATCATGAATGCGACTACTTCACAGGCCGAACAGAAGCGAATTCTGGACCTTATGGTGCAGAAACCGGTGCGTCATTACTAGTTATATTGTTATTGAAGTTTGCTTATATTTCTTATGCCTAACTTTTGGTCGCTAAACCTTTCTACCACCATTTTCACTATACTGCCGGGCACTCATCGTAAATGATGGACATTAAATGTTCTATTTCTAGCCTGATTTGCATTCGGATGTTTCAATGTCTTTCAGGACCATGATAAATTTTCATAGCTGGGGTAGTATACATTCAGCGCTCTGTTAATCATCCTCTTGTTCGAACTATATTTCTCAGGCAAGTTGCCAATCAGGTTTTAATGAGGTAGGAGCGTTTCTGGCTTGACCACTTAACATTCAAAATGGCTATTTTAGGGGCTGCAATAAGGAAATTAATAAACTTAATACTATTTAAAGTAGGTTGATCTCTTTTTCGCAACCTGTTCTTGTTGTCAGGGCGACTTAGTTGGACGCACCTCGTCCGAAGTAATCTGTAGTTATCATGGCTCCCAGCATCAAACTGGGCACTTGGTACATTTTCAGACGTTTCGCCAGCATCGATATCGGCATCATCAGTGAGTCCTGCCATTCTCAGCACCAAGCCACAACTCGTCAATGAGACAAGTGAAGTCAATACCTTGACCAACCTTCTGCCCAAACGGTTGTGCTATCACTCCTCTTCTTGTTCTGGCTCCTTATCCTCTTATCCCACTCCTGCCCTATCACAACTTCTGACTTGTTTACATTTTACTCCTTTTTTGGCAAGGTTAGTGTGGTACAATCAAACCTGATGTTCATCTTGCCCCCATCTCTTTTGATTGGCTAATCTGACTCGGGCCTCCTATCCGGATCTGCCTCATGGTCTCGTAGATCCGTTTCTAATCTTTCTGGTTGACTGATTTCACTTGGTTCCAGTCCCTATATACATTTTAATGCAGGCACTATTTCTCAAGCTTTTCGAATCACGTACACTGCCGCCTCACCGAGCAGAGCTCCTAGGCTCTGATTCCCATACTTGCATATATTAATTTTCGTATATAAGTAGAGTTTCGAGACTACCAGTAAATTATTTATATGGGATGTATTTACCCTATTTAGTTTAAGGTGATGAAGGACTGATAGTAGAATTTTTTACAATGATATGAGTAGAGCTGACGTTTTCACTGAATTTCACAGAGCCTTGCTTTCCCAAAAGTTATTCTCATCCATGGTGGACTGCAGTTTCGACCTCGGATAGGTCTTATCAACACCCATAGCGGGAATCGAATCGTGACAGTACAGCATGTGAGCTTGACACGGTAACCACTCGGCCGCATTGCCACGAGTGCCCTTGGGTCACAGGGCAGATGTAAATTTAAGGAAGGTCAGGCCTTTTCCCATATCATATTCTTTGGTAGGATTGTCGATGAAGCAAACATATTTTTGCTATAAAAATCGACTACGTTACTTATTTTTCGTTGTTAGTAGAGTTTCGAGACTACCAGTAAATCAGTAATATGAGATGGATGAGAACAACTTTTGGAAAAGCAAGGCTCTGCGAAATTCAATAAAAACGTCAGCTCTATTCATATCATTGTGGGAAGATTATATTACCAGTCCTTCATTATCTTAAATGGAACAGGATGAATACAATAGATAGTATATATCAGACATTGCCTCCATGGGTCGTTTCCTTGATTAAATCTGTGTAGCCCGAGCAAGCTGTGGGCGCCTACCCTTATCGCCTGCTGCGTTTCTAGTACATTTTGGCCATAATAATGAATTTCTGTAACGACTGTGATTTTCCGTGACTGCCAGGCCCCCAAAATTGTACAGGTTTCTTCGAGCAGACTTCACTTACTGAGAAACAATTTTCTTGATTCCGAAATTTCCCCACGCCCTTCCTCGTGATCCCTTTTCCTCTGGCTGACGATAGGTCCTTAATCCAGGCGTTTCCTTTGTGTTATTCTTGCCGTATCCTTGTTTTCCCCGAGTTTGCTTAGGCCGTATGCAAAGTTATCGCTAACTCTACCTTCCTTCAACTTCCTGTTCATTAGATTTCTCGTCCCAAGTATATAAATAGCCTCTCTAATCTTCCACTTCTTTGTGCTTTCACTGTATGATGCCCTTCTTTCTGTTTCCTTCTAATTGATCTCATGTCCAGTCTGTGTAATGTGTTTAACTAATTCTGATATCCATTTTCCTGCAGAGTCTTTGATGTTCCTTGATTCTTATGATAATTTTTCTCCTTGTTGGTGCTGTTCGCAGGCTCCGCGTGCTATGTTGTAAACTCCTGAACAATCCAATTTGTCCACCCTTTAATGTTGTATAGGTAGACTTGTGAAGAGTGTTGTTTTTTCCTTCATGGTAACCCAAATATTTTATTTCCTTACTATCAGCCGTTTGTTTTTGGGTTAGTTCGCAGGAAGGTCAGCATATCTTTCTTCCCTCCTTACTGTTCTTTCTTAATCCCCGTTCTGTCATCGGCTTTTCTTGGTCCATATGTTTATTTGTATTACTTAGCCTGACTAACCGTTGCCGAGTAATATCCGAGTCACTTTGTCCACTTCTTCATCCCAAAATTCTACATCCGCTAATCGTAGGCTCTAGATTATCATGCTCTCCATTATTCCTATCCTTATTCTTTAGCTGTAATGAGATTGGAATTTGACTAAATCCCAACATATTATTTCTTTCTAAACAATTTTTCTTGGGTGTCCAAAGAAAGCGAATCACTTCAATATCCAGCACAGGTAGTCGCTTACCTTACTCTCCTTCCATTGTGAATTTGGTTTTTTCATCAATTTGATTTATAAACTTCAGAAAATTTTCCAGTTTTTCTTTTTCATGTGACCAAAGCTCGAAGTAATCGTCCAGGTACCGCATGAGCATTGCTGGTTGTGGCGGTGATATATTGGAGTTTTATTCTGGTGTGATGACGCCATACTAAACTTGCCAAAAAGAGCAAGTCATAAGTTGTGATAGGGCAGGAGTGGGATAAAATAGTAAGAATGTGTTGTGTGATAGATGGGCCAGGACAGAAAGAGGAGTGATAGCACAACCGTTTCGACAGAAAGTTGGTCGAGGGATTGATTTCACTTGTATCCTTGACGAGTTATAGTTTGCTGCTGAGATTGGCATGACTCACTGATGATGCCGGCTAAATGTATAAGAATGTGCTGTGTCTCTTTCTCTCAAACCCACATGATATGGTCCATTTACCTATTTACACCATTCGTTGTTCTCGTTTCCCCCAATGTCACCTATTGATGTGTCTCTTCAAATGGTTTTAGTGAAGCACAATCACCTTCGTAGGTGTCAGATACCGCTTTTAAGCCTTCTGGGTCATGGCTTCTGACTTTCCCTGCCTTCGATTCCGGTCCCTGTTTCAGTCAGATTAGAGAATTTAAAGTCGGTTCTTCTCACGTCTAGGCATCTTCTTCTCTAGTCTTCAGACATATGACCCATTAATTTTCTTTCTCATTCTGTTTGGCCCTGTGTCGGACTTATCTTTTAACCGATGGTGTAAAGATAAAGCATTTCCCTTCTCCACTCCTGAATCGCGTAAAGCACAATCGTCTTGTCTCTTAAGTTCACAGTCCCACCTAAGCCTAGGGTTTTAGCCACTTGTGTATGTGTACTTTGGCTGGTAACCTCCATAGTTAGGCATGTCTAGAGTCACATCTCACTACAGACACACACATGCACTCATTGGGGACTAGCTGATATTGTGCTCCCTAGTTCGGTTTCCATACTTATAGATTTGAAATGGACCTAGATTTTTGGCCTAGCATCTCTAATAGTGTACAATCCGCATGTGTCTACGCTTTACTTTTCTAACCCACAGCTAGGCTCACACTAGTAACTTCAGGCTGATTCCAAATTTGACTCCTCTTACTGCCATCGCCTTTGCTTGATTTTCCTTTGTCCCTCATGGCCGTCTTATTAGCGATGTCTTTTCCTGTTGCCGAATAGCTGTCCTTGGTCCAAGCACTTTCTTTTGCTGTCCTCACCGAATCGCCAGGTCTCTCCTGGTAGTACACTTACGGCAAGGAGGAAGCGCCTTTAAGATTGCTTGTTAATAATAAAGTAAGTCTGATGGATGGGATTTCACATTTCTTAAGCAGAAAATCACGGAAATTGATCAAACATTGGTGATATTATGTGAAGCATTCCTATGGTTATTATATTGGTAAATCAACAGAGTATTAAACAATATAACATTTATGTAAATTACGATTTGGTATCAATGTAACCTAAGATCCCAGTTTGGGAGGTAATATTGACACAAAAACTGCTAGTTAGATATATGGGCAACTACTTTGTAATATGGGAGCATGGTAAGAATAATTAAGATAATTTCTTGTCCCTAATTAACCAGAGGTACAGTAACATTAAGTTAACAATGGAAATATAATAGAACAATTGCTTAC